GGGGGGGGGGGGGGGGGTGTGCGGGCCCCTTCCTTTTTTCCCCATTCAATGGGCTAATCATACAAGGATTGGATCAAGCAATCAAAACTTTCCCCTTAATTTGGCCCCGTTCCAAAGCCATGTACCAAGCAGGGCTTAACCACACAACAGAGAAAAGAGTAAAGAGTTAAAAACAAGTAAATATCAGATAAGAAAGTTACCTAATAGTAAGTTGGGTGATGACCCAACTTAACCTATATACAACCAAACTCGGGCGACAAGAATAAAGTCATACACTTTTAAGGCAAGAAACACATGTTAAATATTTTTAAGGTAAATTATACAATTGACAAAAATATACTTAATGAAAGAGATTATTTAAAAATCACCTCCACCTATACCCAGCAGTCACCTCTCATCACCCTCCTTCCCATTGACGGTGGACTAAAAAATTTAATGTATTTTAATATATATTGTGGATGGAGGAAGAGTTGAATTTTTTAATTCATTGTCATTGAGTTTACTGTCTTTTAATTTAATTTACTGTCGTGTAGTTCACTGTCGGGGGAGAGAGGTGATGAATTTCTATGGAAGAAAAGCTGAATTTATCCATGAAAAAGACAATGACTCTTAATTGGACAAAGTGTAAGACACAAGGAGTAGTGTCTTTTTTAAAAAAAAAAAATTAATTTGGACTACATGACGAAAAAGTTCAGTTGAATTAAACTAATACCTTAAAAAAGTACGTGTGGAATTATTAACAAATTGATTACAAAATTTATAATTTTTAACAATTCTCACAAAAAAAAAATCTAACATTTTGGATTGGCAAAGAAAATGAGTACACATTTAATTATCAACTTATAACGCAAAATTGAATTAAATTTAGTTTCAGTAAGTTCTAAATTAACAGTTATGAAGAACGAACACTCTCTGACATATCAATGTCGGACACCGACACTCCTCAAACACGTATCCAATATTCTTTTGCTTGTGTCCATAATTAAAAGAAAAAATATTAATTTTAACACGTGTTTGACACTTCTTTAGACGATGTCTATTACTAAACAATAAATGTGATTAACAAAATTTAAAAATTTGAGAAAAAAGTATCTTATACTATGAGAAAACATAAAATTAAATATTAAAGTTATAGTTATACTCAAAATATAACAATAAACACAAAAGATAACATAAAAGATTAAAAAAATAAGAAAAATCATTTAAATTATATATATTTTGTACACGTTTATAAAAAAAAATCAATGATTATTAATTAATATAATGTTAGTGTAAAAATTCATACTAGATGACTATACATAACATTTACTTATCATAAAATACTAATTTTTTATAAATAATATATCATCATCACTATATTTATGATAAATTATATAATTTTATATATAAAACATAATTATCTATTATATAAAACATAATTATCTATAACATTCTCTTAACATGTCTGTATCCTATTTTTTTTTTTTTTAAAATGTCGCTTCAATATCTGTACTTCTTAGGTTAAGAGTGTTCTGATATACAAACCACTAAGATTAACTTTGTAGGATACAAAAAATGAATCAGTTGACCTGAGTGAGATTTTTCCACTACAAGAAGTGTCTTTATTCCCAAAACTGGCTTCTAGCAGAGGTAAGGGAGGTTCAAGAATTTTCAACAGTGCCAATCTAACAATAAAAAAACTCTCATTCCCCAATGAAAGTAATAGTACAAGCACTAGCAACAATAACTTATAACATCAGCTGCTTTTCTTATTGATGAATAACTTAAGGAATATATTTACAACATCAGCTGGATGACAATGTGCTGGACATCTGGTCTCGAGCTGGATGGTAAAATATGATTTTGTTTCAAAGAACAACAATACTACTACATAACTCACCAAAATCGGGAGAAAAAAAAAATCTAAATAATCGCTCAAGCAAAATCTGTGATTGAAGGTAACAACAGGTCGTAAAATTAATTTCCCCTTTGTCACCTTCTTTAACTAAGTATTACTTGGGACAGCCTCGGGATAGTTACCACATTAAGCAGTCCCGACAACCTGCTGCTCACCCAGATGCTCCTGCAACAGCAACCTTGTCATATTCGCCTTGCTCTTCTTTAGAGAACTCTTCAATTAGTTCGCGCTGTCTCTGTGTCAAGTTCCTGCACAAATAGAAATTCCCCACCATCAGGCATTGTTTCTACCAAGGCTACAGTGGCACAAGTTATATCATTGGGTGCATATCCCTTCCATTGACAAATTTATTTACGTTCACAAGTGCTAAATGTTACAATGGAATATATTTCTTCAATACATCTCCTCGAATAAAAATTCCCAAAAGAAGAGGACTCCTTATTTCCATCAATGTGAAAAAACAAGAAGAAAGAGGGAGAAACTAGAGGGCAATTTGCAAACAAGATCCAAGAACAAGGGAACCTACGATGGGATGCTGACATTGAAATGAACATATTGATCTCCAAATGAGTATCTGGCCCTTGTTTTAATCCCTGCAAAAGAAAAATTAAGAAGAAAAATAAAGTTGAGCATATGAAAGTGTAGTAAAGAAAGTACATTAAATTCAAGGCACACAAATGAATATTTCTATAGGAAAGAATAACAGACGACGTTTCCTCAAAACCCAATTTGAAGTGTACAAAATAAATTCAAGCAGCATTAACACCTAAGATGGAAAAAACAGAAAAAAACAGAGTTAACAACTAGATTTCATCCCACTATCAAAATACCCAGATATCATGGCAGCAAGTATATAACACGAACCACTTAAAAGATCATGATTAACTTCCTTCTTGTCTCTGATAAAAAAAAAAAAAAACTTCCTTCTTGCCTAATACATCTAGGATCTAGCCATGACACTTTTTGGACTCGTACATTTCATATTGACTATAAACCTCAAATTTGGACCATAAACTTCGGCATAAAGTGTCTCCAGCCATCAAATGCTATTATGACTTAGAAAATAATCATATCCATTAATTAACAGAATGGTCAAGTGAGCCACCATGGTGCAACTAAAACAAATTACAGCTGATTCCGAATACCAAGAATGTACAGAATTATTGGCCATTACTTCATTTCTCTGTTAAACGGATTTTAGCCAGTAACGAATCAATAAAGATTTTCAGAACCAGAATACTTTAACAACCCAAATACCATGCCAAATTATTGTTATTTTTTGGATAAGAAACAGATTTTTGATAATAATATAATGTCGTACTCTATGAAGCACGGACACTCTCGAAAAGGTGACGTATTTGTGTCGAACACCGACACTTTTTCGACACTCTCGGACACGTGTCAGATACTCTTTTATCCACGTCCATAATTAAATGAAAAAATTTTAATTTCAGACATATGTCCGACACTTTTTTGGTGACGTGTCGGACACTTCTTTAGAACGTGTCTATTGTCTACTACTAAACAATAAATATGTGTTACAATGTGATTAACAAAATTTAAAATTTTGAGAACATATAATTACTAATACTAGCTATGTTAAAAATGTACTCTAAATATAAAAATAAAAACAAAATATGCATAAAAGTTTTAAAAAGAATAATTGAGAAAATGATAACAATTATTTAAATTATATATTAGGTACACATTGTCTGCAAAAAAAAAAAATTGATAATTATTGACTACGATGATGATGTTTTAGTATAAAAATTTACACAGATGTCTGCATATAAGATTTACTTATCATAAAATACTGAATCTTTTATGAATTGCATATCATTATCATTATATTTCTGATAAATTATATAATGTTATATATAAAATATAATTTTTTAAGTGTATCCCCAACGTGTCTGTGTCCTACTTTTTTTTTAGAAATTTTGTATCTGCATGTCTGTGTCGTGTCGTATCCGTGTCCGTACTTTTTAGGTCGTACTACATAACCTGTGACCAAGGTGGGCAAGTTGTCCAACTGGAAACAAGACAACATATAAACAGTGGTATGCCCTACTAGGAACTAACGACCATATTATATGCCACCAAACACTTTCCAACTTCCATGGTACCATCCTTTCTCTAACTTATCTTCCTCCAACTTCATTGAATAAAATCCCAAAATTACAAGGAAAACTAAACCCTTTATGTAGGGGCGTGTATATTGTATAGTTGCAACCTAAATACAACCCTTTTCCCTTTAAAATCATAATCAGTCATTGCCCTTTCTTCACTTAATGTACCCTGGTCATATGTTTAACATCCTTTCCTGCAGAATGAGTAGGTAAACAAAACATGACTGGAGACCAAGGGAAAAGAGGGAAGATAGAAAAGGACATATCACAACCACTAAAGTATGGATATGTGATGGATACACCGCACATGGAGATGGCGCATATTTCAAAATAATGACCAATTGTTGCAGATTTTTACGAAATTGAAGAGCGAGTATATAGAGCACAGCACAATATCTAGATAAAACATTGCAAATAAACTCTTATGTTCAACAAATTGTGATTTTCTATAACACGCATTTATCATATCACAACTTACAACATTTAATATATCAAGCAATATATCACGGCATACACATTTGGCTCATTGTTCATGTTTATGGACATGGAAAAATGTAAAAAAAATAAGGTAATATATGAAAAAGAGTTGCATATTTTAAAATATTATTCTACCTTTTTGCTTTAGAATAACCTTTTGACCAGGCTGGGTGCCAGGGCGGACCTGCAAACCAAAAAAAAAATCAATTATGTCAGATAAATAATACAGCACGTAGACCCTATGATATAGAAGAAGATAAGCATGCCATAGTCTCTAACAAACCTTAACAACAACATCTCCTGTCAGTGTTGGGACCTGAACTGTTCCTCCCAAAATTGCCTGCAAGAGAGGAAAAGCTCAACTAACCAACTCAAGATAGTTCTTCTAAAAGGAAACTAGGCAAGTGAAATAGACAATAAAACAAACACCCAGTTGAGTCACCATTAATGGAGGTCTGGGAGAGGAAGACTGGGTACAAAGCTAATCTTTTCCATTATTTGCACAGGGTGGCTGCCCTCATGTTTAAACCCACAACCTCAAAATTATTGGCCAAATTATATTCACTGAACCAATGGTCCCTATGGAAGTAGAATAATATAGGAAACTGGTAAGAGACAAAGACCCTGGACATGAAGCACAGCTAGTTCATTATTGGAAAGTATGAAGCACTACTAGTTACTTTAGAAATCCTTACAAAGATAGGGTTACAGGGATTTTCTTGCTCTGAAACTAACAACGAAAACAAAGTAAGCAAACAAAGTGAGCATTGTGAGAATCTCACTATTTTCTCATAATAGTTATACACTCGGAATAACTTGCACATTAAGAACCCCAAGGTAATCAACTTACATCTCTGAAGTAAAAAAAGATCATATTTAAAGGGGAATCCAAACGTGCTTGGTACATGTAGATGGGGAACTACATGTACTCCAGAGGATCACCCAGTGATCAGTGATCTATGAACCTCCTTGTTAGCCTCTCCCCAAATGGGAAAAAAAGTAAAATGTCTTTACAGAATGTTATTAGAGCTGTTATTGTGATAGAGATGTATTACCTGAGGAATACTCAATACAGCATCAACATGAATGTTGGATCCTTCTCTTCGAAAAACAGGGTCTTCTCTGACCTGGAATAATATAGTTAGTTTAACTTCAAAGTGGGAATGAAGATACGTATAGAACAAGAAGTATAAAGAAGCATATGAAAGTTACCTTGATAGTAACATAAAGATTTCCAGGTTGATTGCCATTAGGATCTGCTCCACCACTTCTTGGCACCTTCATAGTTTCATTATTGTCCACTCCTGCCAATGCCAACTAACTCGGTGAAATAATAAGCCAACCAGAGTAACAAGAAACGTGGCATAAACAAGGTTGTGAACAGTATGGATTAATGCACTACATGTTGTTGCTGTTGTTGTTACTGTTTTTTGTTTTTCAGTTCATTTTTCTTTTGAACTCATCAAGGACATTGTGAATTTCTGAACCTTTCTCTAATCCTCAAGTTCAGGGTCTCAAATAAGCAAGAAACGGGTTAACAGCAGGCACTGATAATTGGTTGGAAGACTGAAGGAAGTTCAAAGGGTTCATTAAGCTAGGGTATGATGAGCAGCTCGTCAAGTGAAAGGGTGTCCTATCATGTGGCAACAATAGGTCATAATATCACTGGAAAACTGAGGTTGGGAAAGTAATAAGCTTTATATGAGTGGAGAAAAGCATAATGCTATTTCCCAAAGAGGAGAACTCTATCTTTTGGCAGGTGAACATAAGAGGTGCAACTTATCTGCACACAGCATATATAAAGGGCAAAAGGCAAAAGATCCAACACCACACCCCCCCCCCCCCCAAAAAAAAAAAAAAGAGGAATAAACCTGTGCTATACATCATTTATAAGCACATATTTTCCAAAAATCATCTAGAATTTATTGAAAGTAAATCTCTCCAATTCAAGAGGGGAGGGGGAGAAAAAGGAAAAGTAAGGGTCTCAGAATTGACAATTTCAACTTCCAGGTTCGCCATATCTGATTCAAAAGAGTAATGCTCCCACTTCCTCCATCAACTTAACCTCTGCAGTCTGCACAACTAAAGCAGTCCTAACCCTGTGAATCAGAAAACATCAGTCATTCTCTCCTACATAGATTAAGACTTTTTCCATTGCTCACAAATTAGTCCATAAAGAAAATCTCCAACAGCTGCCCAACAAAAAAGGTAGACGGCCATTCAAGCCACCAAAGGTCTCATCAATCAGATATTACCATAATGGCCTACCAAAGCCTCCTTGGCAACAGCAGTAAATAGCACATCCAAAAATGCAGCAATGCCACGCAATGAATCAAACCTAAAACTCACCCTTTTCACTCATAACAGAGGCAACAAGCTTAGGGAAATCATCTCAATCCATTCCAATAACATTACATGACTCTACTCCCAAGCGCGGAGCTAGATGTTCTTCACAGTGGGGGCAATCATTATGTAAAAGAGAACAATCGGATGACCATCATCAATATTTGTTGCACCTCACAAATAAATAGTTCATAGGCTTGTCGACGATCAGATTTGTATAGAATTTCAATTGATCAGAATTCGAACAAATTTGATAGCTATCCAACGAACTTGAATTTTACAGAATCCTTTAGAAAAATAAAAGTTGATCTGATCCATATAATTAAAACAAAGCTGATTTTTTTTTTATGATACCAGAGCTGAATTTTAATAAATAACATTTTAATTTCAACATCATATTGTTAAATAATCATGCAATTTATATTAGTATAATCTGTCTCCAATTTTTTTTTGTGAACTTTTTAATTGGGGCAAATTCTAAATAATTTTGAAATTTTACGTAAGCCCAAAAATTTTTAAAATTGGAGTGGGCGCCGTTGCCCCACCCTAAATCTAGCACTGTCCACTCCATGAGGCATTCTAACCTCATTAGACAGTCATTTCCAATCCCATGATATCCTTTGACCACTCTGTCATAAGTTCACTCAAATCAACTCAGGTCATTTTCCATTGCATGATTCTCTTCAACCACTTTTCCATAGATTTACTTCACAAAGGTCACTCAACAAAGCATTGACCCAACTATTTGGTCTTCCATGGATTCATTTACTTCTATATATTCCCAGAACCACCAAGTAGCACATACTTCTACTATCTCAACTATTCCTTGTCTGCGAAGATTAGAAACAAGCTCAAGACATAAGAAACCAGCACCGCATGTATGACAACCCTAAAAATCTTGTAAGGGTAGGATCCAGACAAGCAAGACATGGCAGCAAAAATTATAGGGAAACTTTCACTCCACCACATGATTTGGTTCAGTTTCATTTTATCCCCACCACCTTCAAAAATATCAGTCTTCATATATTGTTTGTGGAACAAAATACATTACTGACTCTATAAGGATAAAATATTGTTAATACCTCCATGACCAATCGCCTCCCCAAGTTATGCTTAACACTTGAGCTCAAATTGGCATCAAGGATGTGTTTTTGTATCCTACTTAGAGCTTCATTGGGCCCCTCTCTTCTCCCCACTCCCCAAAATCATGACTTCTTGATCTCCGATGTCGATTCAAAACAGGACAGAGATATAGATATTGTTAGATAATATGATTTATTTATACCTGTAACAAGTATGCCACTATGGTTATACTAGTCTTTTGTAGTTTATTATGATAGCTATATATATGAAGTAAGAGGGGAGGTAGGGTTAAGATTTTCTCTTCTTACCTCACATAGTTTTCTCTTGAATTCTTTTATTTCTATTAGAAACTTTACATGGTATTAGAGCATCATCCTTAGGGTTTGTAACTGATATATTATTATTCGCTTTCGTTCTTTCCTTTTCCTTTTCTCTATAGCAGCTTTACATAAATGACCAGCAGTGGCAATCTTAGTCTGATTGCAGATTTCCCAAGTTCGGCATCTGTTGTTTTGTGTCAGAATGTGGTCTTGATCAATTCTTGTAGTTGTTTGTGATCTGACACAGTTATATCAAATATGTTGCATGGTGGGTTGAAGGTTGTTCGATGAGCGCCTTTGTAATCATTGTTGGTAATTGGTGAAGATCCCAGTTGTCATCGTTATTGGACAGTCCTGATTTGCATCCCAGTTGTTCTTGATCATTGTGGGTTGAATTGGTCAGATCATTGGTTGAATCGGTTGGTCTTGTTCTGTTGATTGATTGGTTTGTTGAATCAAGTTGCAGTCGTCGTTGCTCACAGAGTTGGTGTACAAATCGTTCTAAAGGTTGAAGAAGGGAACCATTTGGAAATCAGGATCTTCGGGCTTGTGATCCAAGCCCATACCTAGTTGACATGCTAATGGCAGTTTAGTCCAAGCCAAGTCCAAGACCAGCTTGGAGTGCTTCCCAAATCCAGTTTGAGGAAGTAATTTGAATTTGGGAGCCTAAATCCAGTAGTTTTAGCTCGGTCTGATTCAATATTTTTTTGTCCAATTCATCAGGTTTTCTTCTATTTTCGGTCAAGTTCAGTAACTCTTTGGACCAGTTCAGTGGATTTTCTTTTGGTTTGTCCCAGTTCCAGTACAGTTCAGTAACTCTTTGGACTGATTCGGTGGATTTTCTTTTGTTTTTGAACCCAGTTCAGCCTTTTTGGTCACTTTCAGTCCGGTTCAATGGGTTTTCTTTCGTTTTTGGGCCCTGTTAAGTATTTCACCAGTGCCGATGTTACCTTTTGTGAGTCTATACCATATTTTTCGGTTGTTCACTCTCCTCTTGATCTCGACTTTGGGATGACTCCATCATTGCCTTCATCTCTTGTCCCATTATTTTTCCATCCTCATCAACTCCTCTAGCTTCACTATCCCCATCTTCTACAGCTCCATTGAGAGTGTACTCTCGTCGTCTGAGGCCAGCTACTAATATGCCATCGCCATCTTGTGATACGGGCCCCACTATTGTCTCAGATGCATTACCTATTGCTTTGCGTAAAGGTACCCGATCTTGTGTAACTAATCATCTTATTAATCATTTTTGTTTCTTATAATGTCTTATCCCCTACTTTCTCATATTTCATATCCCAACTATCTACCATCTCAATTCCTAAGACTTTACGGGAGGCATTATTTGATCTGGGCTGGAGGAAAACTATGGCGGTGGAGATGGATGCATTGCATCATAATAGAACTTGGGATCTCATTCCGTTACCCCATGGTAAAAAGCCTGCCTGTTGTCATTGGGTTTATACGATGAAATTTAATCTTGATGGTTCTATTGAACGTTTAAAAGCCCGACTTTTTGTTAAAGGCATTGATTATGAGGAGACATTTTCTTCCATTGTTAAGATTTCCCCTATACGAGTTTTGATTTATTTGGTTGCTAACTTTGATTAACCTTTATTTCAGTTAGATGTTAAAAAAAAAAAAATTTGCAATAGTGACTTGGCCGAATAGGTCTACATAGTGCAACCACCTAGATGTGTTACTAAAGAGGAGTATCGTGAAAATGTATGTCGGTAGAAGAAATCTCTATATAGTTTAAAACAGTCACCGCGAGCGTGGTTTAGTAAGTTTTAAGAGACAATCTTGGAACTTGGTCTCTCTAGGTGTCAAACAAACCATTCTGTATTCCACCGTCATATTGATAGAAGTTATATTATACTTATCTTTTATGTGAATGATATTTTAAGTACGGGTGATAATTCTGCTGTTATTGCAAAAATTAGAAGTTATTGTGCAGCATCAATTTTATACTAAAAACTTGGATAAATTTAAATAATTTTTGGGTATTGAAATTACTAGGTACACATAGGGTATTAGCTTGTCTCACAAGAAATATGTATTTAATATGCTTGAAGAAGCAAGTTTGCTAGGTGGTAAGCCAATTGATATTCCTATGGATTCGAATTAGAAACTTTTGATAGATGACAGTGCATTATTTGAAAATCTGGACATGTACCGTAGGTTGGTTGGAAAGTTAAATTATCTCATTATTACTCGACCAAATATTACATATGTAATAGTGTTTTGCACCAATTTATGGAGGGCACCTAGAGTACGGGCTCCTGAATTAGGTTTGTTGGATCGATGGAATAAAAAACTAAGAGTGGAAGATTTTTCAAATACTAACTACACTCGATCGCATTTTGATCATAGTTCGACTACTAGCTATTGCACTTTCCTTGGGGCTATTTAGTATGGAAAAGTAAGAGACAAACTGTAGGAGTATAATCCAATGCAGAAGTTGAGTACAGAGCAATGGCACACACTGACAGTGAGTTAACATAGTTACAACACATCATTCAGGAGATTGACTTTCAAGTTTATCCACCAATTCAACTAGTTTGTGATAATCAGGCAATAGTTCACATAGCTGCCAAACCGATGTTTCATGAAATGACCAAATATATTAAAGTTGATTGTCACTTCATTCGAGATAAGATACAAAGTGAAAATATTTCTACACCATTTATGAAACTGAATGATCAACTTACAGATATGTTCACTAAGGCATTGAGCCGGAGTCATCTTACAATAATACTCTAACTTGAGGTAGAGTGTTATATAATATAATTTATTTATAATTGCAATAAGTATGCCACTCATAGGTATACTAGTCTTTTGTAGTTTATTATGGTGTATATGAATTGAGAGTGGGAGGTAGGTTAAGATTTTCTCTTCCTACCTTACTTAGTTTTCTCTTAAATTATGTTCTTTCAATTAGAAACTTTACAAATATAAACCACTAAAAGAGGAGAAAGACAACGAGAGTTAATACACACACAGTGTTAAAAAAAATAAAATAAAGATACCTAATACATATACATCATACATATATGCAGATCCCCTGATTGCCCCATCACCAGAGCAAATCTTGACAATGACAAACTTGGCCATTATAATTGGATATAGTGGCAACATTAACAGCGATGGAGAAAGCAATTGTGAAATGATGGTTGGGGAGAAGGGTTGTGTATTGAGAGATGACTTCAGATAAAGTGTGTGATTCGAGGGTGGGGGTGGGGAGTGATGTGTGGGGAAAGGGCGGGGTGGGGTTGCACGATGACTATGGGGCTAGAGAGTAGAGGGTGGTTGGAGATGCATATAGGATGAGGGTGGGAGGAAGGGTTTGATTTTTATTTGTTGGATACGAGTCCGGGTTTGGATGTCAGTTTGAACATGGATCCAAAGCTATTTTTATTTATTCAACTAGGACTAATTAAATGGAAGATAAAATAGTCTTTTTGTTGAGCACATTATTGTCGTCTAACTATTGGGGTCTCACTGTCATTTTCAAATGTGAGGAGAAGCCTATGTAATTACAAACAAGACAAGGATCCATATTAAAATTTACCTCCATTTATAAAACTAAGAGAGAGGCTTGTATTAGGTCTCCTGTTAAGGGAGGTCTACCCTAGGGCCGGCCCTAGGCCTAGGCCATTGAAGTGGCTGCCTAATAAGCCCCCACCCCCCCCCAAAACCCCCCACCCAAAAAAAAAAAAAAAAGATTTTACAAAGTTTTAAGGGCCTCCATGGAGTTTTAGTTGATGGGCATTTTTGTAGTTTTGACGGATTGAAAGGCCCCGGTTATACATGAAACCCAAACTTTAAAAAAAAAGGCCAAAAAAGAGGCTGTACAACTAGGCACAATTGCCCATGTAAAAGGTTTGGCCCTGCAATGGACCTAGGTTTATTAAAGTGTTTTGTAGCTTTGTTAAGACTCGCAAGTACCTATAAAATGTTTGTTCCTCTCTCTCCCTCAATCCCTCTCATACCATTAGCTCTTTCTCTCTCTCTCATAAAATTCATACGCTTCTTATGTTAACAGACCATGCAATTTCTTGTTTACCTCTCTCTCTCTCTCATAAAATTCATACACTTCTTATGTTAACAGACCATGCAGTTTCTTATGTGTGGTAAACTATATCAACATAAAAATCATGACTTAATCATATTATCTATCAATATAGAATTTTGATACAGACAATTAATTCTAAGTTTCACATAAAAAAAAAATAAAAGAATAACTTGACTATTGATAATTATCTAATAATCCTTATATTGTTATAATTTCGCCTAGGGCCTCACTTGTTATAATATAATACTTATAGATGTTGGGCCTTCCCTGATCTATACAATATTATAGAGGGAAAAATCATAAACATGACAGTCAGTTCCTTAAAATCCACACATTACCTGGCATAATATCCAACCTGACTGTCTTTGTTCCGTTCACTACTTGCTTCCCCTTGCAAGACTTGCAGAAGCTCTGCACACAACCCATGGAATGTAGCAAATGATCATCAAACATAAAATAAAGTCAATATTCAAAAAACAAAAATGAAGAATGAAAATTTCATGGAAAAAATCCAACATTCTGCAAAAGAAAAAATAGCATAAATGTATAATGCTGTTGCAATTCGTCTGCATCCACTGCAAGACGTAATGATTTTTAGTTCAAGATTGTCCTCTCATTAGCATCCAATATTTTGACAGAAAAGTCATGTTATCAAGAGGCATCTAATTGTTAATCTTTAATTCATAGATTGTTCTGCCCCTAGCAGCCAGCACATCAAGTCATAAGAAAGAGGTGAGATAGTGAATAGGTAGAAACACTAACTATACTTAACAACAAATATCAAACAAAAGGTTTTGAATATTAATCTAATAGAAATTTAAGAGGCTCTTACTTTTGACAAAAGCCAGAGCCAAATAATATGCTCATGCCTCAAACATAAATAAAAAACAAAGAAACACACGGAAAAGAGAGCACCAGTCAATTTTTTTTGCTGTCAAGCATATGAGATAAACATCAAAAAATATGCCATCAAGCATTTTAGGAATCTAGCTCGCTACCTAGATTCACAAGATACAAAACACAGTTAGATCTTCTGGAATTTACGTCTTTTTAACTTACATTAATCAATGAGAAATAATGAAGCAAAAAAAAACATATGCAGAACTCTAACGAAATACTAGCAACTCCAATTCTAAGATGAACAACCCAACTCAAAGTTTTGCAATATTCAATAGGAAGACATTATTATCCTCATCAGATGTGAGGTTTTTGTCGCATGTCGCATTAACTAACAATCTTTTTCTTCTTCTTTTGAATTTTACCACATGAGATAGAACAGAATCAATGTTACAATTAGAAACTCCTAAGAGGTTCAGGTAATTAGCTTTTGATTTTAAATATTGTACACTAAGGTCGAACACATAAGATTGAGTTAGGAGTTTGACAGTAATTTCATATCCTAATAATTCAATTGGGGCATTGTATGATAGAGTGATTGAATTGCACGATAACTATAGATTAAATAGGTTCTTTACCTACTTCGTGCTATCTGGAAGTTGATCATAATATACTACTACGTGTCACTCATGATTAGTAGAAGCCCGAAGATTAAAATTAATATAAATATATTCATTGTTCTTCATAAAGGGAGAATTAGAAGAATTCTAATTAAAGCTAAATTAGAAAGAGTTCTAATTTGAGATGCTACTTGTAGCTAGTATCGAATGCCTACAACCGGGTATACTTGAACCTATACGGTCACACACAAAAAAATTGATTGAAAACTAAAGGATAAAGGAGTGACAACCATTTAAGAGTTAATTGGGGTAAAAACCTAACTAAGAGTTAATTAGAGGTTTTATTACAATTAATGGTTAATAAAGAGGTTATATATAATTATGAGACAATTGCAATTTGACCCAAACTAGGATTAAAACCNCATAAAATAAAGTCAATATTCAAAAAACAAAAATGAAGAATGAAAATTTCATGGAAAAAATCCAACATTCTGCAAAAGAAAAAATAGCATAAATGTATAATGCTGTTGCAATTCGTCTGCATCCACTGCAAGACGTAATGATTTTTAGTTCAAGATTGTCCTCTCATTAGCATCCAATATTTTGACAGAAAAGTCATGTTATCAAGAGGCATCTAATTGTTAATCTTTAATTCATAGATTGTTCTGCCCCTAGCAGCCAGCACATCAAGTCATAAGAAAGAGGTGAGATAGTGAATAGGTAGAAACACTAACTATACTTAACAACAAATATCAAACAAAAGGTTTTGAATATTAATCTAATAGAAATTTAAGAGGCTCTTACTTTTGACAAAAGCCAGAGCCAAATAATATGCTCATGCCTCAAACATAAATAAAAAACAAAGAAACACACGGAAAAGAGAGCACCAGTCAATTTTTTTTGCTGTCAAGCATATGAGATAAACATCAAAAAATATGCCATCAAGCATTTTAGGAATCTAGCTCGCTACCTAGATTCACAAGATACAAAACACAGTTAGATCTTCTGGAATTTACGTCTTTTTAACTTACATTAATCAATGAGAAATAATGAAGCAAAAAAAAACATATGCAGAACTCTAACGAAATACTAGCAACTCC